ATACATCTTCATTTTGATGCCCATGATGTGCACCTACAGTGTCCTCACCACCCAAGTTTCTGAATTCATAGCTAACGGATCGAGCTGAAAATTTGTACACAACACATTCATACAAGATATCGTGCCTGTGCAAAGAATTGGATCTGCATTTTCAATATTTCTTTCAGACAGCACAAAAATATTCAATGAAATCATATTTTTAACTATTATACAGATTTCGGTGTGATTGTTACTGCTCATCACGTTATACGGCTACCCCCCATCACGTCAGCCGTATGACTGTTGACAAACTGTGGTAAATGTAAAATAAAGCCGAGTTAGGTCGAAATGGTGCCCCGGTAGCGTAACTTGTAGCGCACTTGCCCGGAAAGCGAGAGGTGCGGGTTCAAGTGCCGCCTTGGGTGGAAAGTTGTTCATAACCCAGCATTCTTCTGAAAGAGCACCAACAAATGCATTTGCCAATCATAAACAGTCAACAGTTCCTTTGCTTCCTCACCGGGTCACTCTTCGATCATACTCGCTTGCATGCGCAAACTACATAGACCCTGGACATGTGCTCCTTGCACACAACAACATGTTCTGTTGTGAATCTCAATCATAATTTGAAGCTGTATTCGCGACGGCGCCCCATTTTATGTTTCTTCTGAAATCACACGCATATTTCGAAAAAAAGGATAATGGGTTGAGAGGCAAAATGCCCAGTCTTCTTAGATTGATCAGTCTTTTGCAGATATCTTCATTTCTCCTATCCTAGACACGTAAAGAATCTGGTTGAGCAGAAGCGTCGCCTTTTCAATAGACTTCTGAACCCTTTGAATGATCCACTGTATAAGAAAGTCTGCAATGACCTGGACTATCACATCAGAAAATATCTGGCATATCGAGAACGTCGGTTATTCCAACGCAAAGATTTCCAAATTTTTAACTACTTTAAATGCAGGCTTAATGGTGCAGTTAAACCCTCTATTACTGTTAGAGGCGAGGGACAGTGTCTCAAGTCCAGTACGGAACTAGCGCTAGCCCTCGGAAAGTATTTTGGTAGTGTTTTCACTGATTGCAGCAAATGCATAGGCGATGGTGTACAAACTGATCGGCCCCCTGTTCATGAGAGTGTGGATGCTTTTGAAGATTTTACTTTTCGACCATCTGATGTTCTTAGAGTCTTGAAGCAGTTGAAAGCTTCTTCTTCTGCAACTTACGATGGCATCCCTCAGGTCGTGTTCCGAAAATGCTGTCATGCCCTTCAATATCCTCTTACGTTTATTCTCAATGCTTCCTTGTATTTTGGTGAGGTTCCCTCGATCTGGAAAGATGCCCTAGTGACTCCCATCCCCAAAGTCTTCAACCCCACCGAACTTTCCCATTTCCGACCGATAAGCATTTGTCCTGTGGTGGGCAAGATAATGGAAAAAATCATCTGTGAAAAGCTAAGCGGATGGCTTTTAGAGAGAAGGCTGATTCCAGATGAACAACATGGCTTTTTACCTGGGGCATCAACAACTACACTTCTTGTGCGACTCACTTTTTGACTGGTTTACTGCCCTCAACAGCGGAAAGTCTATTGACATTATATATTTTGACCTGACGAAAGCTTTCGATAAGGTTTGCCATCGTAAGCTGATAGAAAAATTGAAACTGCTGGGTATACAGGGGCGAATCCTCAACTGGCTGAAATCTTACCTAAACGGGAGGCATATGACAGTTAAATATGACAACGAGTTTTCAGAAAGGTATCCATGCACAAGCGGAGTTCCCCAAGGAGGGGCGCTTTCACCACTACTATTCTTGGTGTATACTGCTGATTTACCAAAAATTCTCAAGGTCACCCCAGCATCGTGGTCAAAATGTTTGCTAATGACATCAGAGTTTACTGTGCTTACGACAGTCATGAGCAACCTGTAGCACACAAGGCACTGAGCTTGGCTATTAAAAAGATGATGGATTGGTCCTCAGAATGGGAGCTCCCCCTTAATTTATCAAAAACTTCACATTTACATCTAGGATCGACTCCCAGAATACCGTACGAAGTAAACGGTATTCGCATCGAAAATGAAAAAGAAGTCAAGGATTTAGGAATCGTTTTCGATGAATCATTAAGCTTTGACGGCCATTCTGGAAAAGTATCTAGGAAGGCACTCAAGTCACTCTTCCTTATTTTGAGAAATGTTCACAGCAGCAACCCCACCTTACTTGTCAGCCTTTATAAGACTTATATATTGCCTTTGTTAGAATATGGATCCATGATATGGAACCCATATCTATTGAAGCAGATAAACCGATTGGAGAAGGTCCAAAAGATTTTCACAAGGATAGTCTTTTACAGATCTTTCCCGGACCCAAATTACCCATATGCTCTCCCATCTTACAAGGACCGACTCATCATCTTGAACATGAAGAGTTTGAAGTATAGGAGAGTCTTCAATGATTTAGTATTTGGTTTTCGCATTCTAAAACATGAAGTACGACTTAGTGCCAGCAAATACTGGATCTTCCGCCCATATCGAAGGAGAGAGAGAGGTTGTGCAATCTCTTATAGGAAGTTGGGTCGATACTGTTTTAATGCTACTTTCAATTCATTTTTCTTTCGCACAGCTAGATGGCTAAAACTGCTGCCGCACAACTTGCTCTTGTGCGAGAATTCGTACCAGTTTCGATCACGGCTGCGCAAGATTGACGTCTTGGAGGTTTTGAAAATTCACGATACCTGCTAGTGGTATCATCGTATACATGATAAACTTGAATAGGCTCACAGTATTTCTTGTTTGGGCTTTTTCAGATATTTCTATGGTATTCGATTACTGCTCAGTTATGGCCTAGCGTCGTCAGCTCTCCATAGAACAACGGATTCGTACCAGATTGCTGAGCTTGTTGGATCGGCTCTTTGCGCTTCCGCTCGAGATAACTGTGGACCTTTTTTGGCCTTCCTCGCAAGTCTTTGGATCTCTCCGGCACATTGTCTGCAATCGTCACCTGTCGGCTCAGTCGCCCACGTCTAGCTACCTTTCATCTTTACTATCCAATGGATGCTGTCACTACCTCTGTGTGTTTTTTTTCTCTATGCACCTTTCAAGTGTTGTTAGTACCGAGCAAGAGCCCTAGTCTCTCTGTCACAAATCACTTCCTTATTAGTTACAGACTTACGATGTTCTACATCACATCTTGCCTGTCAAGCGGTTTCTTCCCAGGTTGCCCGTGATTTATTATGTAGCGATTCTCCCTATGACCTTGCTGCTTATGACTCATGTTCTCCATCGCTTCATTATCGATATAACCTCGGTCCGACCATCAAGCACGAGAGGAGGTGTGTGGTATACTGCTCGGGCCGGCTCAGCCTTGTGCATTGCACTTACCTAGCTTGCCGTTTCCACGAGGGTGGTCGGTATACCCGTGTTTCGAAGTTTCGGTAAGCTCCTATGACCCCTAGTGGCGAGTGGGCATCATAGCCGACTGATGTAGGTCTGTGTTGATGTCCAGGCTTGAGTATGGCGTGGCCAGTGTCTACATAATCCTCATCTCGTGCGGTGGGAAGGTTTGATCGTCCTACCTCGAAATTTGCCCTTGTTAAAGCCTAGACCGTTTTCAAACTCAAGTGCCTATGTCCCCTTTACGCTCCTCCTTTACACTAAAACACTGCGAACCGCTTGGCTGACAAGCTCATGCGTCTCTTCTTGTGGCTCGCAGATAGGCTAGTGGACTCAACTCAGGTTGTTGGCTTACTTACTGGTTTTGTTACTGACATTTTTATAGCATCGTTGAAATTTTTAACTTAACATACTTTACTTTAATTTCACATACTTTGATTTCATGGCGTGTTCAAGCACAAATAAATAAATAAATAAAATAAAATATCTGGTTACCAGATCAATAAAGTTAAGCAGCTCATCTAGCTTTATACATTGGTGCACTACATGCGCAGGTAACCAAGTCAACTTTCCATCATTCGAAGGTAGCGCGCTGTAAACTCATACCATAGGTATGGTCAGAAAAGGTTCCAGTTCTGCTGCAACTGCGGCCATTTGTTTTTTATTCCCTTTCTCAATTTCCGTGGCTCCTGATGTCCACCTCTTTACCGGCGATTCACTTGTTCGCCAAATAAGATTAATAAAAGCCGACTTATTCGGCGACTGAGTGAATTGTCGCCGAAGAGATGAACGCCAGGAAGCCACAGGAAAGGAAATGTAATGGGTAAATACATTAAAGTTGAGCACCTCGCTTGGTGTTCAACATGAGCATCACAATGAAGATGTATTGTTTAGTAGGCTATGAGTCGTTTGATAGTGAATATTTGACATTGGGAGATGAATTTCATGAGTTCATAAGAACTATCCATCAAAGCACTACGTCTCTACAAAACTGACATCTTCTTCATGAAAAACCGGAACTCATGCTAAACAAGTGACACCCCTGAATACAGCGTATCTGATTACCTGGAATAGTGAAGGCAAGTTCAAAGAATTGCATTTCAGTAACTTGGGAATTAGTCTAACTATTCTAAAGCACCTGTATGCACAGACTCCCACACGCACTCCCACACAATCCTCATATTAAGAAGTGAAGGTCGCTTCTGTACATAGAATTGGGATTGGAACAGGTGTTCAAATTCCCCCAGAATCGAGTATTACATGGAATGTATATATACAATAATCTGGGGTTAATTGTGCCATCGCAACAGACGGTCTTCTTCGACAAAACCATATGTACTGGTGTGAACTTTCTGCGATGCATTTATAACTGACTGTTCAGGGATGAGGCTCATTCTACTTCTACTCGTCCTTAGCTGTGACAACTCAAGCGGGCTTGCTGGACATCGGTAAAGTGAAAGATTTCTTCAAAGGAGGAAAATACGGCGAAAAAATTAAAAACGCGACACTCTTGAAGTTCAAGAAGGTGAGTGTTATAGAGAGTTTGTGAGATGGAACATGAACATCAAAAAATACTGATTGTCTGTTCAGTTATTTGAAAAAACCGGCATACTTTCCCTTGGCAGCAAGTTGTCCGAGATGAGAAGCAAGCTGATGAAGAAGCTCGAACTCTCAAAACTCAAGAAAGTAGAAGTTGACCGCAAGATTAAGGTAAGCGCGTCCACATAATTGCAAATTTTGAGATGTCAGACTTACTGATGAGGCTAGCAATTCAGGAAATCTTGGCCAAACGGGATGATACAGTAGAAAAGGCGATTAACACAATATTCGATATCAATGCTGGTAACAACGTCGGCCAACTACTTTACCAAAGTGACATCCTTCTGACAAAGTGGGTCCTTCATATCCTGTTTAACCCTCAAAATTATACTTTCCGGTTTAACCTTCAACATTTCACGAAAAATCACTGTCAGGAAACAAGCAGAAGAAGTCATCGAAAGTATCGAAGGAAAGAACGGTCAAATGAAGAGACAAGCATTCAAGGATGACTTCTACCCTGATAACAATTGGGTGGACGGAGTCTTTTATAGATTCGACGAAAGCATAGGTCTGCTTGATGTTACAAATACCAAGAAGAACACCTTTGAGTTACTTCATTAGCCGTTGAACGTATAATTTCAGATCCTCGTACCAGAAAAATATTCGAGTTAAGTGCCAAACAATGGGAAAATGCTACATGTATCGATTTTACTGAAGACAAAGAAGAAAAAGGTTGCATAGAAAAGCATTGCTAATGAGATTACGATCAATTTTTATTATAGAGCCTCATTTCATTTTGGTGCTCAAAACATGGAGGCCTGTTTCTCAGAAGTAGGACGAGTTGGCTTTGAACAGTGGCTTTCACTTGGATCAAGGTTGTGACCAGGTAAAGCAATCCCACCTGTACAGTTTTACGTAATGATGTTTCGAAAATTATTAAAGCCTATAAGACATGGGTCAACGGGATCGTACCTTCTTGGCACTTACTTTCAGATAGGAATTGCTACGCACGAGATTGGTCATGCACTGGGACTTTTCCATACCATGTCACGCTATGATCGAGATGACTTCATAACAGTCGTCATCGATAATGTTGTAGTAAGTCATCACATGCACACTATCACAAACAATACCATAGAACGTAAGTAAACCGTCTCAGGATAATTTTGTGGATCAATACATCCCACAGACCGAGGAAACAAGTGATAACTACGGCCTCACTTACGATTATGGTAGTATTATGCACTATGGGGCATCCAGGTAGACAAAAAAATAACACCTACCAGAGTTGAAGTAATATGCTCGATGATTTCAGTGCTACTCGCAACGGTGAACCTACAATGATAGCAAATGACACATTGTACCAAAAAACAATGGGCTCGCATATCCTTTCGTTCCTTGACAAGTCCCTGATCAACGAGCATTACGAGTGCAAAGGTACACATAACGCCAAAACGACTGCTACTCAAAAATTGCTGAAAATGTTGCTATTTAGCAAAGTGTCCGCAAGAGACCTCAGCCCAGTGCCAGAATGGTGGATTCCCTCACCCACGAAAATGCTCAGAATGTATCTGTCCAAGTGGTTACGGCGGTGCTCTTTGCAATGAACGAGTAGGGCAAAGATGTGATAGTTGAGTAAGTCGGCAGTGAAGACTTTTTTCAGCCAGCCGGATGTGGACAAACTTTGACAGCGACGGATAAGAAGCAATTCCTCATCAATAAACTCGGTCACGGACAGGTCCCGTCCGATATGCGCGATGACTACCTATTCTGCAATTACTGGATTGAAGTATGATCTACCGTCCATTCGCCTTCTTGTGTAAAATGGAACACCTTTCAGGCTCCTAAAGGAAAAAGAATTGAAGTTAAGATCAACGCGATTTCACACGGCTATGATCACGACGGCTGCGTTTTAGGGGGTGTTGAAATTAAGTCCAGTGGGGACCAAACGCGAACTGGCTATAGGTGAGTTCATTTTCAGAATCACAGTCCCAAATGATAATTTCACTTTTGCAGATTCTGCTCAACCAAGGATAAAAATACAGTTCTTGTTTCGGCCACAAATCGTATGCCTGTGATCATGTTCAATAGATCCGGTGAACAGCAAATCATTCTAGAGTACAAAATCGTATCATGATTGGATAGCATTCTCCTCACGAATAAATGCAAGACAATACCACGAGTGTTTTCCTCGAAAATATGTCATGATAGGTAGAATAAGTAACAACAACTACAAAGGTATTATTGTCAAAGGACACGCCGGCTTCAAGAGATCAGCTGTAGGTAGAGGAGAGAACACTATTTGTTGACCGGAGTCTGGAGAGCACCTTGCAGTAGGGCAATCATGCACGCAAAAAACCCTAATGAAAGGGGTTCAGACGCAAGTTTGGTGTTGGAGTGGTTTCCTAGGTTTCAGTGTTACGTGGCGCAGTGAACAGAGCTTGGCTCGGTAATTTGACTTTAATGGCACAGAGAGGGGAAACTTCGTGGGTCAGTGCTTCAACCTTAAAAGCCAAGAGAGGACGCCTTAGGCTCGGTGATTTGGTTCTAGTGGCCAATTGAGAATTGAATTTCGTGACATACGGACGCACACACAAACAGACAGACAGGCATGCTTAGCGGATTATATATAGAAGGATAGTTGTGTACAAAATTAGGGAATTGTACCGGAAGAATAATTGCGAGTTAAAAATATGATTTCATTGAATATTTTTGTACTGGCTGAAAGAAAGAGAAAGAGAATATTAGAGAAAATGTAGTTCCGATTCTTTGCACAGGCACGATATCTTGTATGAGTGTGTTGTGTACAAATTTTCAGCTCGATCCGTTAGCTATGAACTCTGAAATTGGGTGGTGAGGACACTGTAGGTGCACATCATGGGCATCAAAATAAAGATGTATTGTTTAGTAGGTTATGAGTCGTTTGATAGTGAATATTTGACATTGGTTGATGAATTTCATGAGTTCATAAGAACTATCATTGAAGCACTACGTCTCTACAAAAATTGAGCATATTCCTTTATGAAAAACTGAAATTCATGCAAAATCAAGTGAAACCATTCAGCACAGCGTAGTTGATTGCCTGGAATAGTGAAGTTAAGCTCAAAATATTGCATTTCACAAAAATTTGGAATAGGCGAGCCGCCTATGCGACGAATAGTTACTGTGGGTCAGCTGACTAGTACGCTGTTCGATATTTTTCAGTGCTTGTTGTACTAAGGGAATTTTCCGAAATTTCTGTGACAACGAATTGAATCGGGTCGGATCTTATTAGTACCTCCAACTTGGGTATTAGCCCAACTATTCTAAAGCACATGTATTCACAGTGACGGCAAACCGTCTGAAATTACTCGCTTGATTTTTCATTTTTACGCAATTACTCACTCATCTACTACTATATATAATCCGCTAAGTATGCCTGTCTGTCTGTTTGTGTGTGCGTCCGTATGTCACGAAATTCAATTCTCAATTGGCCACTAGAACCAAATCACCGAGCCTAAGGCGTCCTCTCTTGGCTTTTAAGGTTGAAGCACTGACCCACGAAGTTTCCCCTCTCTGTGCCATTAAAGTCAAATTACCGAGCCAAGCTCTGTTCACTGCGCCACGTACACTGAAACCTAGGGAACCACTCCAACACCAAACTTGCGTCTAATTCCCTTTCATTAGGACTTTTTTGCGTGCATGGTTGCCCTACTGCAAGATGCTCTCCAAAGACTCCGGTCAACAAATACTGCCCTCTCCTCTACCTACAGCTGATCTCTTGAAGCCGGCGTGTCCTTTGACAATAATACCTTTGTAGTTATTGTTACTTATTCTACCTATCATGACATATTTTCGAGGAAAACACTCGGGGTATTGTCTTGCATTTATTCGTGAGGAGAATGCTATCCAATCATGATACGATTTTGTACTCTAGAATGATTTGCTGTTCACCGGATCTATTGAACATGATCACAGGCATACGATTTGTGGCCGAAACAAGAACTGTATTTTTGTCCTTCGTTGAGCAGAATCTGCAAAAGGAAATTATCTTTTGGGACCGTGATTCTGAAAATGAACTCACCTATAGCCAGTTCGCGTTTGGTCCGCACTGGACTTAATTTCAACACCCCCTAAAACGCAGCCGTCGTGATCATAGCCGTGTGAAATCGCGTTGATCTTAACTTCAATTCTTTTTCCTTTAGGAGCCTGAAAGGTGTTGCATTTTACACAAGAAAGAATGGCGAATGGACGGTAGATCATACTTCAATCCAGTAATTGCAGAATTGGTAGTCATCTCGCATATCGGACGGGACCTGTCCGTGACCGAGTTTATTGATTGAGGAATTGCTTCTTATCCGTCGCTGTCAAAGTTTGTCCACATCCGGCTGGCTGAAAAAAGTCTTCACTGCCGACTTACTCAACTATCACATCTTTGCCCTACTCGTTCATTGCAAAGAGCACCGCCGTAACCACTTGGACAGATACATTCTGAGCATTTTCGTGGGTGAGGGAATCCACCATTCTGGCACTGGGCTGAGGTCTCTTGCGGACACTTTGCTAAATAGCAACATTTTCAGCAATTTTTCAGTAGCAGTCGTTTTGGCGTTATGTGTACCTTTGCACTCGTAATGCTCGTTGATCAGGGACTTGTCAAGGAACGAAAGGATATGCGAGCCCATTGTTTTTTGGTACAATGTGTCATTTGCTATCATTGTAGGTTCACCGTTGCGAGTAGCACTGAAATCATCGAGCATATTACTTCAACTCTGGTAGGTGTTATTTTTTTGTCTACCTGGATGCTCCATAGTGCATAATACTACCATAATCGTAAGTGAGGCCGTAGTTATCACTTGTTTCCTCGGTCTGTGGGATGTATTGATCCACAAAATTGTCCTGAGACGGTTTACTTACGTTCTATGGTATTGTTTGTTTAGTGTGCATGTGATGACTTACTACAACATTATCGATGACGACTGTTATGAAGTCATCTCGATCATAGCGTGACATGGTATGGAAAAGTCCAAGTGCATGACCAATCTCGTGCGTAGCAATTCCTATCTGAAGTAAGTGCCAAGAAGGTACGATCCCGTTGACCCATGTCTTATAGGCTTTAATAATTTTCGAAACATCATTACGTAAAACTGTACAGGTGGGATTGCTTTACCTGGTCACAACCTTGATCAAGTGAAAGCCACTGTTCGAAGCCAACTCGTCCTACTTCTGAGAAACAGGCTCCATGTTTGAGCACCAAAATGAAATGAGGCTCTATAATAAAAATTGATCGTAATCTCATTAGCAATACTTTTCTATGCAACCTTTTTCTTCTTTGTCTTCAGTAAAATCGATACATGTAGCATTTTCCCATTGTTTGGCACTTAACTCGAATATTTTTCTGGTACGAGGATCTGAAATTATACGTTCAACGGCTAATGAAGTAACTCAAAGTGTTCTTCTTGGTATTTGTAAACATCAAGCAGACCTATGCTTTCGTCGAATCTATAAAAGACTCCGTCCACCCAATTGTTATCAGGGTAGAAGTCATCCTTGAATGCTTGTCTCTTCATTTGACCGTTCTTTCCTTCGATACTTTCGATGACTTCTTCTGCTTGTTTCCTGACAAGTGATTTTTCGTGAAATGTTGAAGGTTAAACCGGAAAGTATAATTTTGAGGGTTAAACAGGATATGAAGGACCCACTTTGTCAGAAGGATGTCACTTTGGTAAAGTAGTTGGCCGACGTTGTTACCAGCATTGATATCGAATATTGTGTTAATCGCCTTTTCTACTGTATCATCCCGTTTGGCCAAGATTTCCTGAATTGCTAAGCCTCATCAGTAAGTCTGACATCTCAAAATTTGCAATTATGTGGACGCGCTTACCTTAATCTTGCGGTCAACTTCTACTTTCTTGAGTTTTGAGAGTTCGAGCTTCTTCATCAGCTTGCTTCTCATCTCGGACAACTTGCTGCCAAGGGAAAGTATGCCGGTTTTTTCAAATAACTGAACAGTTCGCGACAATCAGTATTTTTTGGTGCTCATGTTCCATCTAACAAACTCTCTATAATACTCACCTTCTTGAACTTCAAGAGTGCCGCGTTTTTAATTTTTTCGCCGTATTTTCCTCCTTTGAAGAAATCTTTCACCTTACCGATGTCCAGCAAGCCCGCTTGAGTTGTCACAGCTAAGACGAGTAGAAGTAGAATGAGCCTCATCCCTGAACAGTCAGTTATAAATGCATCGCAGAAAGTTCACACCAGTACATATGGTTTTGTCGAAGAAGACCGTCTGTTGCGATGGCACAATTAACCCCAGATTATTGTATATATACATTCCATGTAATACTCGATTCTGGGGGAATTTGAACACCTGTTCCAATCCCAATTCTATGTACAGAAGCGACCTTCACTTCTTAATATGAGGGATGTGTGTAGGAGTGCGTGTGGGAGTCTGTGCATACAGGTGCTTTAGAATAGTTAGACTAATTCCCAAGTTACTGAAATGCAATTCTTTGAACTTGCCTTCACTATTCCAGGTAATCAGATACGCTGTATTCAGGGGTGTCACTTGTTTAGCATGAGTTCCGGTTTTTCATGAAGAAGATGTCAGTTTTGTACAGACGTAGTGCTTTGATGGATAGTTCTTATGAACTCATGAAATTCATCTCCCAATGTCAAATATTCACTATCAAACGACTCATAGCCTACTAAACAATACATCTTCATTGTGATGCTCATGTTGAACACCAAGCGAGGTGCTCAACTTTAATGTATTTACCCATTACATTTCCTTTCCTGTGGCTTCCTGGCGTTCATCTCTTCGGCGACAATTCACTCAGTCGCCGAATAAGTCGGCTTTTATTAATCTTATTTGGCGAACAAGTGAATCGCCGGTAAAGAGGTGGACATCAGGAGCCACGGAAATTGAGAAAGGGAATAAAAAACAAATGGCCGCAGTTGCAGCAGAACTGGAACCTTTTCTGACCATACCTATGGTATGAGTTTACAGCGCGCTACCTTCGAATGATGGAAAGTTGACTTGGTTACCTGCGCATGTAGTGCACCAATGTATAAAGCTAGATGAGCTGCTTAACTTTATTGATCTGGTAACCAGATATTTTATTTTATTTATTTATTTATTTGTGCTTGAACACGCCATGAAATCAAAGTATGTGAAATTAAAGCAAAGTATGTTAAGTGAAAATTTCAATGATGCTATAAAAATGTCAGTAACAAAACCAGTAAGTAAGCCAACAACCTGAGTTGAGTCCACTAGCCTATCTGCGAGCCACAAGAAGAGACGCATGAGCTTGTCAGCCAAGCGGTTCGCAGTGTTTTAGTGTAAAGGAGGAGCGTAAAGGGGCATAGGCACTTGAGTTTGAAAACGGTCTAGGCTTTAACAAAGGCAAATTTCGAGGTAGGACGATCAAACCTTCCCACCGCACGAGATGAGGATTTATGTAGACACTGGCGCCACGCCATACTCAAGCCTGGACATCAACACAGACCTACATCAGTCGGCTATGATGCCCACTCGCCACTAGGGGTCATAGGAGCTTACCGCAACTTCGAAACACGGGTATACCGACCACCCTCGTGGAAACGGCAAGCTAGGTAAGTGCAATGCACAAGCTGAGCCGGCCCGAGCAGTATACCACACACCTCCTCTCGTGCTGCTTGATGGTCGGACCGAGGTTATATCGATAATGAAGCGATGGAGAACGAGTGTATATGCGGCAAGGTCATAGGGAGAATCGCTACATAACAAATCATGGGCAACCTGTGGGAAGAAACCGCTTGACAGGCAAGATGTGATGTAGAACATTGTAAGTGTGTCCCTAATAAGGAAGTGATTTGTGAGAGAGAGACTAGGGCTTTTGCTCGGTACTAACAACACTTGAAAGGCGCATAGAGAGAAAAAAACACACACAGAGGTAGTGACAGCATCCATTGGATAGTAAAGATGAGAGGTAGCTAGACGTGGGCGACTGAGCCGACAGGTGACGATTGCAGACAATGTGCCGGAGAGCTCCAAAGACTTGCGAGGAAGGCCAGAAAAAGGTCCACAGTTATCTCGAGCGGAAGAGCACAAAGAGCCGATCCAACAAGCTCAGCAATCTGGTACGAATCCGTAGTTCTATGGAGAGCTGACGACGCTAGGCCATAAATGAGCAGTAATCGAATACCATAGAAATATCTGAAGCAAAGCCAAACTAGAAATACTGTGAGCCTATTCAAGTTTATCATGTATACGATGATACCACTAGCAGGTATCGTGAATTTTCAAAACCTCCAAGACGTCAATCTTGCGCAGCCGTGATCGAAACTGGTACGAATTCTCGCACAAGAGCAAGTTGTGCGGCAGCAGTTTTAGCCATCTAGCTGTGCGAAAGAAAAATGAATTGAAAGTAGCATTAAAACAGTATCGACCC